GTGCGTGCGTACGTGGCTGGCGTGCCGTGGTGTGCGGCGTGCGTTGGTGTGTGCCGCGCGTGCTGTGGCGTGGCGCGGTGCCTGTGGTAGTGGTGCGCTGGGGCGTGCGCTGGGGTGGCGCGCTGTGCGCGTGGTTGGTGTGCTGCGCGTGCGTGGTGTGGCGGCGTCGCTGGTGTCGGCGGTGCGTGTGTGCGCGCGTGCGTGGTGTGCGCGGCGTGGTGTGGTCGCGTGCGGGCGTGCCGGTGCGGGGTGGGTGTGCGCGCGTCGTGGTGTGCGCGGCGTGCGTGGTGGTGCCGCGGGGCGGTGGTGTGCGCGCGTGCGTGGTGTGGCGCTGCGTGGTGTGCGCGCGTGCGTGGTGTGCGCGCTGGTGGTGTTGGGCAGTGCGTGGTGTGCGCGCGTGCGTGGTGTGGCGCGTGCGTGGTGCTGCGCGGCGTGGTGTGTGGCGCGTGCGTGGGGTTCGCGGCGGGGTTGGCGTGCGTGGTGCGTGCGCGCGTGCGTGGTGTGCGCGCCTGTTGCGTGGTGTGTGCGCGTGCGTGCGTGTGTGCGCGTTGCGTGGTGTGTGGCGCGTGCGTGGTGTGGCGGCTGCTGGTGCCGTGGTGTGTCGCGCTCGGTGTAGGCTGCGGGGCTGCGGTGTGGCGTCAGGTGTGGCGCGCGTGCGGTGTGGCGTCAGGTGTGCGCGGTTGGTGGTGATGCCGCGCTTGCGTGGTTGCGCGCAGTGGCCTGGTGTGCGCGCGTTGCTGGTGTGCGCGCCGTGCTGGTGTGTGCGCGTGCTGTGTGTGCGCGTGCGTGGTGTGGGCGCGTGCGTGGTGTGTGCGGCGGCGTTGGTGTGTGCGCGTGGTGATGTGTGCGCGTGGCCGTGATGTGTGCGCGTGCGTGATGTGTCGCGTGCTGGTGTGTGCGCGTGCTGGTGGGTGTGACGCGTGCGTGCGTATGTGCGCGTGCGAGGTGTGCGCGCGTGCGAGGTGTGCGCGCGTGCGAGGTGTGCGCGCGTGCGAGGTGTGCGTGCGTGCGAGTTGTGCGTGCGTGCGAGTTGTGCGTGCGTGCGTGCGTGCGAGGTGTGCCAGTAAGAACTGCCAAATTATTGTTTGCCATCCTAGTTCATTTAGGCATACAAATTTGTTTTCCTTTAAAATGAAAAATATTGCTGACTTACAAATGAATGAAGACAGGGCTAGAACCATTGGGTATGAACAGAGTTATTACCCCAATTTGGGAATGGAAAAAAATGAAATTATCAAAGAAAAAGTGAACAGAAAACATTCTGAAAAATTTTAAGTAATTATAGTTATACATAGTTTTGATGATGAAAAACAATAATCTTGAAATATGACTAACTTACTGATACAAGTCTGCCAGAAAATATGCCAATTCCCTTCCGATTCTGTTCACTACAAGTACTGGTTTATTTTACGATGCATTTGTGTCCGATTTATACCTGAATGTTATGGAATGCCTTTAGATTGGCAATTCCTTTCCATTCAGAAAATTTCTTTTAAAATTGTTATCAAAGCTAGGTAATTCCATACGAATCATCTTTATAGACTTTAATACATAATCTTGTAAAATACACAAGTTCATGAATTCTCAGGAAATCTTCCTTCCTACAGATTTCCATAACCACATTCCATGTAAAAAAAGTCCTCGTAAGAACGCTTTGTAACATATTCTACCTCATTTCTTATGAGAAAACTAATTATTTGAAGGTACACCCTACTCAGAATCTTGTTAATTAAAAAAAAATATAATAAGAGCAATAAAGACTAGATGTTCCAGGAAATTATCTTTGAATGATAATTCTAACTACTTTAATTTAAATAATTTGTCCTTATGATCTTCAGATAAGAGAGTCAGAACTTGAAATAAAAATGTGTTGTTTTGCAATGATACCACATTCAAACCTATACTGATCAGTTTATTTTCAAGCCTACAACAAATGGGAAAATTAATTGCTCCATCACTAAAATGTTGAATGTTGTGTTTATTCATCATTAAGAGTTTCGCAAATTTTATTGTACTTCTGAACTGGACACACAACTCACTTCAAAGATAATACATGAAAGCATAAGGAAGGCAAAAGTCAATCCAAGAGATAAAAAAATGTTATAAGTGTTACAAGAGAACTGCTTTTACATAAACTGATTAAAATGTAATTAGTAACATTATGTAACATCTTCTGAGTTGTGGGTCCAGTTCAGCCTTCTCTCAGCAAGTCTGGTAAATAAAATCAGCTTCTGAGCCCAGGGTTGGAATTTTATCTGTGATTGAATCCCAAAAATCAGTTATCACACAATGGAACCATTAGATTGAAGAAAAAAGAAGAGATACAACCAAAGGGAGATCTTAATAAATTTAATAGCGCTGAGGCAGACATACCTGGAATGTTCTTTAGACTTATTTAGTTACATTCTAGAAAAATCTGCCTACACCAGTTTTATGAGTGTCCATGGCCAAAATTAAATTCCAAATATTATACAAAATTTTTAGTCAGAAGCAGTAGAAACCCAATACCCGAATAAATGATGCAACAAGATTGATAGCAATGGTTGGAATGTCTAATTATATTTACCGCTTTGCAACCATTCCAATTTTTGTGATTTCCCAAAACACTTTTAATTTCATATTATACTTCATATATTATATTTCATATTATACTCAACAATCAGAATTGATGGTATTTCACTTTACAATTTACAACATTAATTTCTACAACACAGAAATTTAATATGATTAATAATTAATTTATCAGTTGATACGACTTGTATTAATCAAGAAATAAACTCTTAATCTATATTTATTATTTGATAACTTTGGAATGTAGTACTGCCAATATTGGTATGAGTAATTTGATGCTACATAATGATCATAGACATTATGAGAATGATTTGCCTGCCTGTTGTACTGAGTGTGATTGTGTATATATACATGTGTGTATGTGCTTGTGCACCTATGAGTTTGTGTGTGAATGAGTACGCACGTGTGCATGCATATGTATGCGTGTGTGTGTGCATGCATATGCATGCATGGGTGTCTATATATATATAATATAAACACAGCAAAATGTAATGTCCAAACAACATACAAATACCAAACAAATAAAAAGCAATGTAATTTAAACATAAAAGGAAAAGATCATGAACACCAACCTTCTACAACCAATATATCACCAACTTAAACAGACAACTTTTCATTCCGAGATAACTGAAATAGTTAAAATGCATGTTGCATAAACCAACATTGGGAAGTAATGGGTTAACAGATTTGACCATTACTTGCTTAGCATTGCTTCAGTTTGATAACGAATATTTCACAAAAATGTATCTTAGTAAGAATGTTAAAAACTACAGAAAATTTAATTTAAAAAACAATATTATATTCTCATTTCAATAGTTCAATTTTTCAAGCAGTTCTTATATTTCAACAACCAATTATAGATTCAATTTTGGGGCAGAACTATTCTATTCATGTATTGACAAAGTGAGTAAAAAAGACCACTTTAAGTCTTATTAGATCTAAAATTCTCGCTCTAAAGACAATCCCATCCATCAGTGAGTCATTAAAAAGCAAGTAAGTTCTGTTACATTTATACTATACATTACTATAAATAAATAAAAAGTAATAATTAAATTTGTTCAAAGAATTGGTTGCCCCAACTAGGAGGCAAACCTGCATGACAATTGCATATAAAAAGTTCAAAAAAAAAAAAAGTTTTATCAATGTGGTGGTATGACAAAGGCAAAATAAATTATAAAAAAATGTTTTAGTAATGACTAATATTTATGTTCTTTCAGGTTTTTTTAATTAAGGAAATAGTTCCACATTCATATTTCAGTATCTTTCAAAAAGGTGCAGTTCAAGTTCATGTCTGGCAAGATGAAAAATTCTTCATCCGGGCACACAGGCAGGAGAGAGGGCCTTTCTCACACAGCACACACCTAATCACTTTCTCCATTGCTGTTAAAATGGGTTTCTAGGGTGGTCTTCTAAGGGGTCCTATGATTGCTCTCACATTGACAGCCCAAAAGTTGAAGTTTGAAAACGCATTACAAAATAGGGTGTGCATTCAATGACCAAAATGCCATAGGGGCATTCCAGTATCTTGAGGTATGTTGCCCTCCCTATTAAAAAAAGGGTTCAATTTTAATTAAGACTAATAAAAACTGATGAGGAAAGAATCACACCAACATTACTTCTATTCGTTATTCTGATCAATTTCAAGTTTACTGAACACCTGTATGTTAAGTATCAAATAAAAACCAAATTCAAATGATGGATGCGTAGATTTTGAAGGGGAAAAAAGCATTCTTCTGATTACCATTCCTTCACTAACTCTTTTCTGTTCAAATTACATTTCATGGGGCTGCAAATGGTCTGTGAGCCATCCGTGTTATATTTCTGTGGTAAGGACACACCTGCATTAACCTCTTATGCCGTTATCTGTGTAATAGAAAAGTGAAGTTGCACCACAAGTTGTGTAAGGATAAACTGCTCTCTCCTTGATGCAAGTGCTACTTGACCAAATTACCAACCTGAATATATGTTGTTTCGTTTCCAGTTATTCTTCCCCACTTTAACATTCAAATAAAAAATTTATTCTTTCTGTGTATCTGAATAATTTTCCTAACCAATCTTGTCAAAATAATCAGCATATAAAATCATTCAATTCATAATTTTTAGCAAATACTAGTCTCTTTCACTCTCTTCTATTCTCCCAGTTCTGAGTCACTTTCTTCTTCCAAAGATGAATAATGTAAAATAAATGGTTTGCTGAGGTAAAGAAATATCATAGATCGTTCTGGATGAAAGAAGTCCGCAAGACGATTCCAACAATAGGGGGAAAATACATGTAATCTGTTACATTGTACCACAAACTGATGACTCCAACTAGTAAAAAAGATGTTTGTTTCTTTCCTTCCTTCTGGGTCTCTCCCTCTTGCAATTCCTTGATTGCCCGTTCTGTGTGTTTAAATTTTATGACTAGACTTGAAAGCAATGCAGAAGTGTGTACCTTGTCCTCCTGTTCTCCTTCTTCCTCCTCTTCAGTGGATGAACTCTCTTCCTCCTCCTCTTCGTCCTCATCCTCTTCACTTGTGTCACTGGATGACTCGCTCTCTGGCTGCTGGTCCACTTGCGTCCATTGTGGAGGCTCCCACTGTGACACTCGTGTCTTAATGTGATAGTAGTACACCCGGCCCTCGCTATCACGAGCGGATTTCCACTTGGGTGGCAGCGCAGGCACTGGCTGCATGTATGGAAGCTGAGCAGCAGGGAGGACTTGATGAAACTGTGGCTGTGGGACACCCTATGAAAGAAAAAAAAAATCAAAATACTGAAGAGATATCGAAATTCTTAAGTAGTCAACTATGAAAGTTTTTTAAGAAGACAGACAACAACATTTTAGAGCAAAAAGAATTTCTAGTCATGTCTACATATCTTTGATTCTATCTAAAAACATCCATTTGTGCAAACAGACTGGGTTTGAAAATGCAGAGATAAAACTTAATCATATTCTTTGAATTTTATAAGAAGACTTCTGCACATCCGAAACTGATTTAATATCACATATTCTGAAAGTGACTTTCTAATCTCATACTGAAGAAATTCTGGTTCAAGACTATAAAAATCTAAATACTGAAGATGACTTTCTAATTTCATAATCAAGATTGTATGATTTAAGGGTAAAAAAACTAAATATTGAACCTATGCAAATAAACCAAATTTTAACACTAGATAAACCACATACAGTATTCTACAAAACCAAGATAGAAATAAACAAGATGAGTCAAGTTCAAAAAGTGTATGAAGAATTTGAGGTTTTGGGTTTCCCAATAGCACAATCTCACAAGAAATTACCTTTCAAATTAATTGATCTATTAATCACTACAAAAAGAGCTCAGGATGCCTACTGCAAAATAAGGATCTCTTCCACATTCATTCACAACCACAAAAAATAGAATTTTCGCTCTGGTTCAGTTTCCATCTTAAGAATTTAGGCACCATGGCCTACATTTATGTCTGATAGTTTCACTAACATAGTACTTCAAAAACCTCAGCAATGTTCATGAATAGCAATGACATTACTACTTCCACACCTTTTCTTCAGACGGCAAGATTTCCAAGATGTATACTTAAGACACTGTTCTAAAGTTGACAAATGTCCTAAAAATTGTGTTCTACTCTAAGGGAATATTAAGCGGTTCATCTTTAGGAACAATGTAATTGGAAAATAAAATTCCAATACACTGAAAAATACATACTCAAGAAGGTTAATTTAGAAAAATTTAAATTTAAAAAAACAATTTTTTGTAACCTTTCATTTAGTTTGTGTTGTGAATAAAGCCAAATTACAAGTAAGTTGTTCAGGATGGCAAACTGCTTCAAGAAAATGGCATATGTTTGCCTGGAAAAAGACAAGGTGGTGAAAGTTCATCTCACAGAAATATTTATCAAAATACATTATTATGTTATCGACATTGCAATAGTTTCTCTTGATGCTCTTTGTAAATCTAACCATCCACAAAGTTCATATGCTTCAGCACATATAATCCTGAGTTCGATTGAGAATTGAACTTGTGATATCCAGGGTTACCCCAACATCTCAACTAGCTGTACCTGAACTCAATGACAAATTCACAATACACAAATCGCACAATATTGTGAAGGAATCTGATTTTTGATTTCCAAGCAAAACAATTGTTTTCCTCAGCAACTATCAATCATTATAGTTTCAAAAGCTTGAAAACTGAAATGATGTATTAAGAAATTATTTACTGTAATAAAACAATATGTCAATAAATAAACAAAATATAGTCTACCTTCAAGGAATTCATGAGTGGTGAATGAACATGAGAGAATTCCCAAGTGTTACAGGTATGCTCCCTCTCCCATCCTAGTAAGTTATTCCATCACTTGCTTTGTCCAATTACAATTCTTCAAAGGGTCCTGCCACCCTCCGGGTCCGTTAAAAGAAGCCCCACACATCCCCATAAAGAAAAGAGTAAAAGAGGCAGGTGTTTTTAATAAAAGTCCATAACACTCCAAAACTATTCTTCTAATGTTGTGACATAAAAGTAACAATTTAGCGTGAACAAATGGTAGAATAAATAGCTAAAAAGATACTGCAATTGTAACTTTTCATAATTGAGGGCCAGTGCTTTGTGATATGACAACATAATTAAAGCACTTGTGTAGTGAAACACCTTAACTGGGACACCTCTAAAATGTGCATCATTCCCCAGATATAAAGGAATAATAAAAGATAACAGTCCTTTTGAATCTTTAACATCTCTTAAACCTTAACAAGTTTCCGAAACACACTTAAAGGTGCTTCACCAAACTACATATAATTCATAGCCGTATTAAGAAGCCTACCGAATGAAATTACACAATAGCAAAACAATCTCTTACATACTCACGAATCAAATTAAAGTTGAACAACTAGCTACTTTTAATTAAAAATCCAAAATTCTGAAATTTGAAATAAATTGCAATTAAATACAACCTTCAGCAAGCCCTTTGCTGATCTACAAAATCACATAAAACCTTCAAAGTTTGGGGATCAGAATGAAACATTGATCAACTATGATTCATTATAGTATAACTAATCAAATAAGCAAGATAAAAAGATCTTGGCTCCACAAATGTAGGCAATATTTTCATTGTATTTTGTCCTAAATGATGCATAAAAATTCCAATTTTATAATCAACAGAAAAGGCAAGCATAAAAGGTTCTCTTCCGGCATGGTAGTGTAATTCCAGGAATAAGCGGCACATTATGATACACTCAACGTAACTCCACTCAGAAGTCATTCTGGAATGTCAAATACATCACTGTCCAATAACAGTTGTTTTACTAAGAACACAAAAAGCACACATTACCATGTAAGCTGACCTGCAGGTAAGAAGGTAACCTGCTGTTTTGCTATCAGCAGTATGTGTGTAATAAGAAACAAAGCCAAAAATAAATTCTAGAGAATAGGAGACAAAAATTAACAAGACTTACTCAAAAACAACTGTGGTAGATAAACAGAAACAATTAAAATACCAGATTTCAACAAATTCAATTCAAATGAAAGGACACAGAAACAAACATGAATGACAAGAAGGAAACGGTCATTGAAAGTGCAGTAATAAGAGTGAACATAATATACTTCTACAGAGATGACCACAACCAACAGTACATTCATTGCAATCAATAACTATATCAATATTGCTGGCTAAATTTTAACAACACTTTATCCATTTGAAGCTAGTAAATAAGTATCCAATTTGCACCATTTTAACAATTTTCAGTTATTTCTGTAATATGTGTATAAAACTTTGGGAGAATTTATATTTTGAGTAACATAATTATCTAAAGAAAAAAAAAGTTTGAGATACATGTTGTTAAACTTAGCCATTCATGTATCATTCAACACTTGTACTTTTGATATTCCCTCACACTTACTCTCTCATACATGAATATGCTGCATGCATGTATTCACATGCACACATACAAGTGTGCACATGCCCTAACTGTCAAATTCTGCACTAAACCTTAAAAAATGTATTCTAGTAGTTCTACACCTGACAAATATTTATTATAGTTAATAATCAAATGTTTGAAAGCCATCCCTCAGAAAAAAACCAACAAAATAGGTAAAATCCTACTTCCAAGAAAAGAGAGAGAGAAAAAATTGACATCTTAGTTTGACTACATAGTAAGAAAATAAACAGTTCCTTATATTAAAAATTCACCAGTTTTCAGAAGGAATCTTAGAATTTTGACTCGTAATAAAGTTTCACTAGTTACAACACCGATATATGAAAATTTCAGTTTTTAATAAAAGTATTTTCAGGTCTCCTCCAATTTACATATGCATTGCATTTTTTTTAACAAAATTCAAACTTTCTCTACAATGAATGAAAATTTTGTCAAACTTTTCATTCTTTTAAAATGTAATTGAAGTTCATTCTATTGAAATATTTTTTTTATATTGTTTATTAGTTATACAAATGTTTTTACAATGGCTGCCATTTTCCAGACACAAGCATGACTAGTGGAGCTGTGCATTTCTGTCAATGAAGAAGTCATGTTATTGTTTGGCTAGGAGCTCCAAATTTACAAACCACCAATGGATGTTATGATTAACTGTATTGTTCGTTTCAAATTCTAAAATGCACCTTTTTAACAAAACAAGGGATTTATCCATGGGGTTCCCTTACATCTTGGTATTATCCCTTACGTAACCAATCAACATCGACTTTTGTGAGATTAATGGATGAAAACACAGAACAAGCAGGAGGAACAAGGGCATTCACTTTCACAGTTATGAGATTGGTGAATTTTAATTATGTATTTTGGCTTCAAATGTATTGGACAGACTTAAGAATGATTTATATTGGTCTTATCAGTTTGATCCAGGTCATGAAACTGGACATGCGTAACAAAGCTACAATTGTCTATAAAAGTTTGAGGATATACATATGATGCCATTCCACACACCAGCACTTAATGTTGTTGGGAATGTTCTTGCATAAGTGAGACGATTCTTTGATGTTCATTGCAATACACGAGAAATGCCAAAAAAAATTATTTATCATTCATTATAAATCCAATTTGAAAAAAACATGAAAAAAATACGAAAAACCTGCAATTATGGTATTTAATTATATCGGATTCATCTTATTAATAAATTTAAAGCCTTAGAATTTGAAAATTTATGTTGAAATAATGTATTTCGAAATTGATATTCAGCATTACATGTTCGTACGAATTAATTTTCGCAATATTATGAAATTTCACTTTAGCAAAATTACTGAGGTCCCTACAATTTCGTTATATTGGTATTTCACTGTATAATAACAAAGTAATATATTTAACATTAGTTTGATGTCACCCATAATGCCCTATTTTTTTACTGCATGCTTTAACTGTTGAACTGTCTTTCTTCATTGACTTATCTTTTCATAAAAATCATGCACCACTGACACTTAATTTAAAACCACAAGTATCAGAGCAAAACCATTACTGAAAGGGAAAGTCGCACCTGAGGTTCAACTGGCTGCTGAGGAGCATATATGTGCTGTTGGGTGGGAGGTGGCTGCTGATACAAAGGCTGCGGCTGTGATCCCAGAGGTAGCATGTCAGACAAGGGGCCTTGCTGTTCATGCGGAGCAGGTCTTGCTTCACTGTAAGCCACTGGATGTGCTGTTGGAGGAGGCTGCTGTGTTATCTGAGGCGGAGGCATGTTGGGAAGTGGCAAAGGGTTGCCCGGGTCATATGGAACGGGGGTATTGCTTGGATCATAACCTGCAGGAGGA